TGACTTATAAATGATATTATGTAACAACTTCAGCCCCTGTGATTTTTTTTATTTCAATTATTCAAATTTTAAAAGAAATTATTTAATTATTTACACTATTTATATTCAGATTATTGTCCTCATCATTGTTGTTGCTATCACATGATTTCAACTGTTGTGCCCTAAGGTGTATATCGATCTGGGTAATCTGCAGGGTATTTTGAACTGAAACCTTTATTTAATCTATGGTCGTAGACTGTTCTTGTTGCACTGCTCATGTCTAGGGATAACATCTAGTTCTTAGTTAAGAATTATTAAACTTTAAAAACATAAAAATAATTTGAATGCTAGAATTTAGGCAAGATATACAAAGTCATTTTAAGTTTCTTTGTTTAAAAATGCTTAATGTTTAAATGATTTTACTTAGTATCAGTAGCGTACTTATGATTTTATAAGTATTAAGCAAAGGCAGTAAACTGATCAATGTTCAAAATCATTTATGTGGTCTTGTAGGAGATGATTTGTTTTCCCAACATTGTAGGCCTTATTGCTACTTTCACAGCAAATGTTCAGTTCAGCTTCAACCTTTGGTTTCACCAGTTCAGACCATTATAGCTAAAACCCATGATGCAACTCCAAAGACACAGCCACAATTTCCTCCATATTGCAATTTTAAGGAGGATGTTTCACTGACATTTTTTCCCAAGAGCTGCGATTTTATAGAACAAATTCTCACAGAGGATGCTTCCCTGAACATTAGAATCTTAGTCTCTAAGAATCAAGATTTCATCACTATCTATTCTCTTCATCATCATAATCTTTGCTCCTTACCACCTCCTCTTTCATTCATATCACACACCTCATTCAGTAATTTTATGCTATGTGACACTTAAGCCTTGTATTAAGTGAACTTTAGTATAAAAAAATCCAATAGCTTTATCTTGAACTAGAAACTGTAGAGAATTATAATCATTATAATGAATATGTACACACACACATGTATGTATATATATATATATATAGATAGATAGATAGATAGATAGATAAACCTAGTGAGCCAGACAAACCTACCCAGGTTTCACCTCTCTCGTTGGTTTTGCTATTAGGTTTATTATTGAGACGAAAATATGCTCTCCGCCTCATATTTACTATAAACTTTTCTATTTTTCTTAGCAAACATAACTCGTATGAGTGACAGTCAGGTATAGGTATGTTTTTGAGTGAATAACCCATGTCTACATCGTTCCATATTAGTTGATTTAAAACATTGCTCGATAGAGTAACCTAGAGCTTTATAAATAAAAATATAGATAATTATATGGGAGACGAAAAACCCAAGTTGATTTTTGATTTGCCAAAAATTTGATTGGCAAATCAAAATTGAGGGTTTTTCGAAACGATATATTCTATAATTATATATATATATATATATATATATATATATATATATATATGAAGAATATATTTATTCAAAGAAATAATTTGTAAAATTAGCCTTCTTCTCAACTGGGTATTGATAGCTCAGGTGGAAAATCTCCACCAAATGAGCAGGGTTTTGATCCCGGCTTGAGGCAATCAGATGTCTAGCTACACTGATGAGCTATCATACAGCAAAACAGTCTGTTTGTGGTTGACAATATATATGCCTCTGGAAAATTTAATTCCAGTTGAGCACTCTTGGGAGAAAGTACAACTTTGTAAACAATGACTACTATTGGTAATACTGAAAAGCTCTTCCATGAATTCAGCCCTCTCGGTCATTGATGTGTTCATTTGAAGAATAAGTACGTAAAAATTAGCCTTCCTCTCAATTGGGTGCTAATAGCTCAAGGGTAAAATCTCTGACTGATGCCAAATCAGTAGGGTTTCAATTCTGGCTTGAGGTAATCGAAGGTCTAGCCACACTGATGAGCTCTGATACAGTGTCTGTGGATGACTGTAATATATATATATATATATATATATATATATATATATATATATATATATATATATATATAATACATAAAAGGTTAATGTTCAGGGTTGAATTGGACCAGGAAAAAATAAAATATATACATATATAAAATAATACCAAATCTGTAGGTGGTAGAGAGTTATTCCAAGAAGTTATTTTTAATATAAAAATATTAAAAAATTAAATCCATCATCAAAGCACAATGTGTAATAGCATGATATTTGTATACAGAGGAATATAAATCTTTTTTTTATATATATATATATATATATATATATATATATATATATATATATATATATATATAGCATAATGAGAAGCCATCTATACTTTCTTAATATGTATATATAGAAAAGTTGCAAATTAAAAAATAATAATGTTTCTTTTTTGCTGAAAGTATTTATTTATTTGTATATGTAAGCAAATATATGGATATAAATCCGACAGTATGAAAGAAAAATACAGAAAAAAACAAAATTTGAATATGCATTATTAATGTTAAAATAAGAGTCGACGTCGGACGTTTTAGGTCTATTTAAGACCATTTTCATGGACATTTTCATTTAAACATAATTAACATTATTTTTAACTTTTAAAAATTTTTCACAAAAGACTTTTTTGGACATAATTTTTGGAAATCAATTCAACAGATAACTGAAATTTTTATATACGAGTAATTCTGTTTAATGATCAAATTTAAACAGAACGCTGATCTTGTATAAAATTTCAAGATATCTGTTTGAATTAAAATATCTTAACATCCATCGTCTTTTTGTTTTAAATTTTATTATAAGTTATAATGTTAATTATGTTTAAATGAAAATGTCCATGAAGATGGTCTTAAATAGACCGAAACGTCTTATGACGTCGACTTTTATTTTTATATTATATATTGATATTTTAAGATTGGCCTTGTTTGTTTTTTCGGTTATTTTTTCAAAAAATCAAATATTCCATAAATATTAAAATATATATATAAATAAATAAATACTTTCATAAAAGAACATTATTATTTTTTAATTTGCAACTTTTCTATATATATATATATATAATTATATATATATCTAAAAATAAAGTAGATATAACTTTAACAAAAAAATGGTGTGTATGCCCTGAAGATTGCATTCAACTATGAAACACACTGTTGCCATTTGGTGCTGGCCTCAGTGTCCACTTTTATATTTATATATGGATATTGAGCACCTTTACCCATAAATATAGCATATGTTAAAACTATTCTTATCATGCAACATGTATATGTATGTATATATGTATATTTTCCACATTACAAAAATTAATGTAGAAATGACTTTTCTCAGTACTGTCATTTTTGTTCAACACTTTATCTGGATAAGAGTTTTAGATTTTGTTTTTTTGTCCATTGGTTTATTACACAATTTTTGGATATTATATATATATATATATATATATATATATATATATATATATATATATATATATATATATATAATATGAAGAATTGAATGATTGAAATTTATTACATGCAATGCTTTTTTAAAACTTTACTAAAAAAATGAAAAAGGAAACCATATTTTGGAAAAGAAAATCCTGAAACTGTTTTGAATAAGACACAAATTACTCTGAAGATCAATGTGATTCCTTTGGAATCAAATCAACAGGCTGCCAAGAAGAAAGAAACTGAATACTGCATGACAGACCCTGGTCTATATATTGCAGGTGATATAAATGTCTCATAGATTCTGATCTTAAGTTATTGGAAGTCCATAATATGTACATAGAAATGTTTATTTTAAGATTGGTCCGTTTTGAACAGAAAGTTTTTTAAATCCGTTTGAAAATGATGCAAAATGATATTTAAAGCATTAAATTTAAAGAAAGTAAATGATAAGATGCAAACCATTCCAAAGACCAATGATATTCATTTGGAACCATGTGTGTGTATTTGTAATTATAATTGTGATCATAAATCTATTTGATGGACATCTATCAAATTTGATAGCATATGAGACAAGATCTGCTTTTTGTTTCTGAAAAAAAAAATGGCTGCAAATAATATTCCCTCTCTTTGATATGTGAAATTGAGATATCTGGTAGACTTATGTTTGCCAAAAGCCTGTAGACTACTAATACTTTTACCATGTCAGAATCTGTAATACTTTAATGTTAAATATAAGTTAGCTGGTAAAGGTGTGGAGGGGGTGGTCTTATATGCCATCAAATATGGAAATTTTTAGTTGAATATGGATATGAAATTTTCATTGTATTATGTTTGATCTCTGAGATTAATATTCACCACTGAATTGAGTTCCTTAGCATGAGATTATGTTGAAAAAATATATTTGTCAAGGAATAATAAATCAAAACAAGGCACCGAGCCAATTACCTAATGAGCTTGTATGGAGAGATGATAAAACATATGTGGGGGTGGCTTGTTGCTAAGGGCTAGGAGAGAGAAGATCGTGGAGAGCTGTGATTGCCCTTGTTTTGAAGACACACAGCATATAGAAGAAGACGACAAACATTGATGTACCTATATACATATGTGGTCATACCTGCAAACACACTTATATACATGGTTCAAAATAACTTACTTGAAATAGCTTATTTGCTCCTTCCTAAAATTTATCTTGTGTCATAAATATTCAATAGATCAGCTAAGTGTATAGGGAGTCGAACATAACAGGCAAATGTAGTTAACAAGTCGACAGTTCACTTGAATCTCTTATCTTGAAAGAGATAAAAACCTCTATAGTTATCTTTTTAAATGTGATTTCAAAAATTAAAATCAAGTATTAGTTTGTTTTCTCAAAGAACTATCAAGAGGAAGTAAGGTCATGTGGATCACTTCAAAACTTATGATAATGCAAAACATTGACCAAATAAAACATTTTACTTAATAAATATCAGCAGAGATGTACAGGAGAAATTTCTCAAAATATAGCCCAGTAATTCATATACTTTTAGCATTAATCTCAAACAGAAATACTGGCTTTTGCACACAAGACACTGTGCATGTGTGTGTGGGTTATAAGAAACTACTAAGGCTTCACAAGTATGAACAGATGAATAAGTAAAATGCTATTTAGATTAATATTTCTTTTGGAATAAATTCGAAGAAAAATAAATGCAATTTATTCTGAAGCAGCTGCCTTTCAGAATTAAAGAAATAAAATAAAAGTAAACAAGCCAAAATGAACAATAAAAATAGTTCTTCAGGGAAAACAAGAAGGAAGGAACAAATGAATGAAAATATGAATAAAAAGAAAGAAACTGAGATGAATAAAATAAGGAAAGAAATGAAGAAGGAAATTGTAAAGGAAAAATAAAATGTTAAAGAAATGAGAGAATGGAAATCTGTAAAAATAGAAAAGTCAAAAGAAAGTGAAAAGAAGCAATAATCCTGAGTAAAAACAAAGAATTTAATGAAAACATGCTGGCAGAAAGAAAAAGAAAGAGTAAGAATTAAAAAAAATGAATGAAAGGAGACAGGAGTGAAGAAAAAAGAGAAAATTAAAAGAAAAATAGAAAGGAAGAGTGAAGAAAGAGCAGACACTGAAAATATGAATGAAAAAATATAAAGAAAGACTGGGCTTCCCAAAATCTACCTGTGAAGTGCAAAAATCTACAAGAGAAGTAAAAAAAAAAAAAGAGTGAGAAAGAAAAAAATAAGGAAATAAAAAAGAAACAAAGAAAGAGAAGAAAAATGTGAAGAGAAGGAAATAGAAAAGAAAAAGTGAGATTGGAACATTTGAAAAGAATTAAACCAAAAAAAAAAAGAAAAAAAAAGAAGCAGAAAGAAAGCTAAGAAAAAAAAAAGTGAAATAAAACTAAATGAATGAAAAGGAAAAGAAAAAGAAAAATGAAAGAGAAAGAAAAATAATAAAACTGTAAACAACTCCCAGATTCCAAAAAACATAAAATGACCAACAAAAAAGAAAACAAAGCATAAATAAAAGCCAGCAACAACAACAAAAAAAAAACAAACTTAAAAGCAAATTCTACATTTCTATATTCTCTTCTTTTCCTAAAAGGTAGATAAAAGAGTTAAAAAGAAGGCGATGTTGTCAGGAAGTGTTGTTTATTGTCCAGATTCCATGACACCAGACCCTCAGAATGGTGATAAGCAAGAGAAATGGAATCACTCTCACCTGCAGGGCTAGGTTTTCTTTCTCTCCCAACCTCACTTGGCTAATTCATCCTTGCACTTTCTTAATTATTTCTCCTTGACCAACAACTTTTTGGCTGCACTGGTAAATCGATACCAGAATACCAAGGATGTCAGTTAGCCTTAGTGACCTTTTGCAAAAACCTTGCGACATCTGATATACAAACTTGGAGACCGAGAGGGGTTTAGCTGCAAAAAGACCATTGATAGGAGTCAGAAGTAGGAAAGATAAAAATAAAAAGGGAGGGAAAGAAAAGAAAAAGTGCCCTGCTCTTGATGAATAATTTATAAAGCTAAGATTTTTAACAATAAGCCTTGGCAGTATTTTAAAGAGGAGGAGCTGAGTTTTATTCAACTTGGCCCAGGTTGGCCTGTTTAGGTTCAGTAAGAGCAGTCGATACAAATAATTTTTGAGAATTGTATCATTTTAATATCAATATTTCATTAAAGTTATTAAAAAATATAATTATTTTGCCTTGCCAATAAATCTGCATAAGGATCCCATGAATATGCAAATTATACTTGTTGGTAATAATGGATAAATATCAATGCTTTATTATTTTTTTTAAAATTAGCAAAGAGTTTAATTATTTTGAAACCATTTTATCTGAAAAAAGAATTTTTTTGTAGTCATATATATTGAAATATATAAAATTTTTTTAGTAAGTATTTGATAAATATAACTTTTACAATGGTACTTTGATATTACAAAGGGATGGTCTAAAAAAGTTTGTCTTTCCAGATTTCATTATGACTGAATAGTGAGTTCAAACCTCACTGGGTGCCCCATTTTCTGAAAATGATAAAAAGTAATCACTATAACAATTGAAGTTTATAAAACTGCTTTTTAGTTGGGAGATAATTCAAATGGCTTTGTGGCAGTATATTGACTCTTAGATTTTAGATTATGCATTTTTTTTTAATTAAAATTAGTATTATCTAATATTTGTAAAAATGTTCAATTATATTCACTTAAAAATATAAGCATTCTGCATTTATTCCTTTTAGTTTTGTTATTTACTTAATTGGAAGAGATTTTAATTTTATTTTCAAGTATGAGAAAAAAACCATATTAAATAGAAACTTATAGTCCTTATCAAATTAAATTCTTGATGGATGACAATATATATAAATATATATATATATATATAGATTTTGATTAGTTGCAAAAACAAATGTTAAAAAGAATTATACTTTTAAGTTTTGAAATATAAATACATATAATTTGATATTAAAAAAAAACCTGGGTATTTTAAATCTTCAGAAATAAAAATTTTAATTTTTTAGATATAGAAAAATTTTTTTTTTTTTTAAACAACATCTAAAAATAATTTATTACAGTTAGATTTACGCTAAGAATATTCGAACACAGTGGCGTTCCATATCACGACGTCCGAATCTCCACGACGGACGCTACTTGTAAACAAACAGTTAAAAACAGAAGAAAGATTGAGGTTAATCTGAAATATCAAATATATATATAAATAAATAAATACTTTCATAAAAAACATTATTATTTTTTTAATTTGCCACTTTTTATATATATATATATATATATATATAAATATATATATAAATCAAATTACCTACCAATATAAATGTTTCATAAATAATCAAGAGTGCTTTTCCTGGTTTGTTATTATATATTTATAAACTATCTGTTTACTTAATATTTAAGGACACTGTGTATTCTCAGTTGCAACTTGTCATAATTAAACCTATTAAAGATACTTTTGTCATTATTCCATGAAATGCCTTAATATATTAAAAAATCAGCTAAAAAAAACAAGCTGATTAATTCATCTTGATTGTCCACAAAATTTTTAAGACATGAAAATAAAAACAACCACTGTTATGCTTCTTTCCAAAAATATTGTAAATAGATAAAAATTGCAGTTTACATATTTTTGCATATTCATCATTTGTGTCCTGTTGAAAAGTTTTTTTAGAATTTTGCAATATTTTTCCTAAACATATCTTATTTAAATTTGAATTGGTGAAGTAGTGACAGAGATGTTTTTACATCCTCAAATTTTAAACCCCTATTTTAGCAAAAATAAACAAAAACCAGGGAGTAAGGTTGAACCTACTATCGAAGTAAAAAAAGTTGAAATATATATATATATATATTATTTTATTGTCTGAATATTCCTTTAAATTATATAAAGCAGCTCACTAGTGTGGCTAGACATCAGATTTTTTTCCTAGCCAGGATGTTTTCCCTGGTGATTTCATCATCTACATCCAAGATTTTATCCCATAATGAATTTCTACGTCCATGAAGGCTAATATTTATTTTAAATAAACACAACATTGAAGAGTGCTTGATTAATGGAAGAGCTTTTGCATTAGAAAAATTTCATTGTTTAAGTGTTGTACATTACCTCTAAAGTGCTCTGAAATTTTAATTTTTTCGGTGCAGTTATATAATATATAATATAGATATATATATATATAGTATATATATACTCATCCATTCGAATTCTCTGAAATACTAAACTTTATTGAAAACCATGAGAAATAAAAAACCAATTGCCAACATGGTAAGAAAAATGTATTTATGGTGTGATGTTTTGTCCAAATTGATGGAAGACTTGTTATTCCTTAAGTTTAATTAAATACATAGGGCGTGCAGAATAATAAAACAGAAATTCAAAAGGAAAGTCACTAAGAATGGCTTGAAGAATTTTTTTGAAAGTAGATTTTTTCAAAATTAAAAATGTTAAGAAAAATTTAAATAAATATTCTTCTGAAAAACACTCAAAATTAGAAAATTTGTTGGTTAATGCCAATTTTATGGCTTCCCTCTATCTTTTCTTTAAACATTTTTCTAATTAACTTTCTTCTTTCATACCTTAATCACATCAATTTAAGTGTGCTACTAGATTGGCAGCTAGGTTTTTATATAACCATTAGTTCTATTTTTTAATAGACATTTTCTCATATTCTCACAAAATTTAACTTTCTTTCAGTTTGTTGCTTCCCTGCCACATACAATCTTCAAAAATTTAAATGCAATGTCAATCACCACCTTCAGTTTTCCTGAATCTTGTACTTTTAAATTGCTTTCTCTGCAATAAAATCTTCTCATTTTCTTTCATTCTCAGTAACCGCTTGTGTCTTAGTGGTATAGTCAAATGTTTGAAATGACAATGATTATGACACAAAGTTCTGAAGGTGCAATGAAAAGTTCAAGGAATCTGAACTGCAGACACAAAACTGAATATAGGATGTATTTTAGCTTTCTTGTGAATAATTATGGCAACAGAAAGTAAATGACAACCTTGAAGAAGATAGCGAAAATTAATTACTTGTTTGATCCAACAGAAAGTCTTTCTAAGATTAATAGTTTGTAAAGTATTTTTGTCATCTTAATACTAACTACACACATCAAGGAATGTTCTAATTTTATTCTTCTGAACATTCTGCCATGAGTAATATATTTCTGATGCTTAAGTTTTTCTTTTTTGTGGAAGTGAGAGCTTTCATAATAAAGAAAAATTTGTTCATTCAACATTATAAAAATTTTTATTTTTTCAGAAGCCTCAGAGATGGAGTTTTTAAATTAAATTTTGCTTCTTGACAAAGCAAAAGTGAAATTTTTTTCCATTGGTGAACATGTGTATGTAAATTAGTTATTCCAACAAAAATTTCAAACTAGGAAGCAATAACAAAATGGATTTTCACCCCCCTAAAGAAATTTCAAAATTTAAAATAAATTAATTGACTGAAAATCTAGAAATTTATTTTTTAATTATCCTATACGTATATATATATAATATATATATATATATATATATATATATATATATATATATGTTAAGTGAATGATTCAGGTAATAAAACAGTTACCAATGTATAATAAATTGATCCAAAATTTACAAAATATCAAATAATACATTTTGTTTGTGAGTGTTTTGAAACAGATGGAGTTTCAACAAGGAACAATATATATATATATATATATATATAATATATAAATTAATATGTAATACATATCCGTGTGTGTGTGTTTTTTAGTATAGACAAAAGGAAATATTTTTTTTATCAATGGTTTTTGTCATCTTTGGATTTTAAAGATTAATTGTTGCAGGTTAAATCAAGTTTGCAACAAGTATTTATAAGCAGAAATATAAATATAATAACTTTTTAAAATTTCAAATCCAAGAATTATTCACAAATAGTCTTTAAAAGAAAACTATGGATGATGCTAAGACATTATATATATATATATATATATATATATATATATATATATATGTATAGTTGTTAAAATGATAAGAAAGAACATTAAGATTTATATTCTCGAATTCCTATCTGGTTATTTTTATTTTTAAAAAAAAGTGCTCAATGCAAAACAGTAGAGTCAAAATATTAATTATTTTTC